AGACACTATCTTCAACACGAAGATGACTTCTTCTGTACCTTTCTTGTGCTTCTGAGACAATCCCATATAAACCCCAGTGTACTCAGTGCTGGATAATTCTGGAGTTTGATCTTCAATTGTGAAGGTGATGAGAGACCTTCACACTTTGCAGAGTAAGGAAATGCTGTTCTGCAAGCTGTGATTGTGTGGAAAGCCTCTGGCTCTTTGATATCTCCCAGTTTCCCTGGTGTCTGGAAATGCTCTGTGGGTTTTTGTTCTTCTTGGTATTCAGTCATGGTGTTTAATATGTGGGGGTAGACCAGATGTCTTTGGATTGCTTCTGAAACATTTTCTCATTGGGCTCAGGTCCTTTCTGGGTTATACAGAGAGAACTTCATTCAAGGACTTTGGTAGTTTTGTTTTATTCTTTAATTTATGCTTCCATTTTTCATATATCAAATACAGTATTATGGAGAATAAATCATAAAAATGACATTGACCTCGTTTTCTGTGTTTTCAGAACAATAGCTGATATTTGTTGACCCCTTAAATATGTCATGTCAAGTGTTTACCATTCACACACAAAATCAATTTAACACCAGCCTTCAGAGACAATACTTTTTCTATTCCTATTTTACAGATAAGAAACTGAAAATCAGCAGGCTGAAAGCAATTTTCTATAGGTTACAACAAAATATTCTAAGTAGGGGAAATGAGATTTATAGTCATTGAAGATATTATCAGTCAAGAGTGATTTTGTTTTACTATAAGGTTCACCTTTGATACTATACTTTCTATATTCTATGCTTTAACTAATGTATAATGACACATATTCCCTAATTATAACTCTACTATCCCCAAACATCTCCTGTGTTGCCCCTACTCAATGTTCCCCACCCCAGGTCCTGACCCTGGACATCCCCAGATTTTTTAGACTGTATAAATTTGCTTCAACCAAAATGTTTTACAACTGGAGTCACACTGAGTGGAGCCTTCTTTGATGGTTCTTTTACACAGATAAACAAAGTGAAGTTTTCTCCACAGCTTTTCATGGCCAGATGACTCACTTCCTGTTAGCACTGAAAATAATGGTCACCTTGTGGCTGCTCCATACTTTTATCTTTTCCAGAACTTTTGGTTGCCTTCAAGTATTGGTAGTTATTATTGCAGCTTCTATAAGTTTTTGTGTGGACAAAGTGTCTTAAAATATTTGTTATGGCCATACAGCTGTCAATCATCAAGGATTTGTTTTGGGACTGGGCTTGTGATTCTGATGGGCAGAAGCTGATAGGTAGACATTCTGGAAATAGAGAAGAGAATAAGCAGGGATTCCTGAGCATTTGTGACAGGCAAACTGCTGGGTGGTTAACTTTATTTTCCTTAAACTATACTGTTAGCTCTTGGTGCCTTCCAGTTGCAGTATGAAGCCTTATAATCATTTGTATAAAAGTTGAGAAATGGTTTGTATCTTTTCCAAATTCGCAAAGCCAAAAAAAGCCACAATTTGAATTAAATCTGAGGCCAACCAATCTGTTCTAAGTCTTGTCCTATCTGGTTCTTCATTCAAGGGGAAGGGGATTAAAGAAAAGAGTTGATTTAATCATAATACGCAAAAGGTCTATGTAAAGCTTGAGAACGAGGTTGCAGCCAGGCCAAGCATGATGCTGGCTTAGGAGCTGTGGGTGAATGTCTCTGAGCTGCGCAGGATGTCTCTGGGCAGTGTGGGAGCATCTCTGGATAATGTAGGATGTCTCTGTGCAGTGTGGGAGTATCTTTGGATAACGTAGGATGTCTCTGGGCAGTGTGGGAGTATTTCCGGATAATGTAGGGTGTCTCTGGGCAGTGTGGGAGCATCTCCGGATAATGTAGGAGTGTCTCTGGGCAGTGTGGGAGTATCTCCGGATAATGTAGGATGTCTCTGGGCAGTGTGGGAGCATCTCTGGATAATGTAGGATGGCTCTGGGCAGTGTGGGAGCATCTCTGGATAATGTAGGATGTCTCTGGGCAGTGTGGTAGTATCTCCAGATAACGTAGGATGTCTCTGGGCAGTGTGGGAGTATCTCCGGATAACGTAGGATGTCTCTGGGCAGTGTGGGAGTATCTTTGGCCAGGGTAGGGATGACTGTCTCTGGGCTGAGTATGAGGAGTGCAGAATGAGAGCAGAAAGTTCTGGGAGCAGGAAGGATCACCTTTTTGCATTTCATAAGACTACCTGAATTCACTAAATTGTTGTTTCTAAGAGACTTCTGAGGATATGCAAATTTCCACTCTGTGTGACCTTTGGGAGAAGGAACAGGATGTTCAGGGCTGCAGTAGATCAAACCAGTGGAGGAAGTCACGTGTGCTTTCCTGGCTGCCTCTTGGTATCTCAGTCCCAGAAGATGCCCTTTTGGTCATTGCTACCCCTACAACATCAGGGCGTCAAAAAGATAGAAATCTGTACACACACACACACACACACACACACACACACACACACTATAGAAGTGTTTTGCAAAGTCAGTCAAAATAATTAAACCATGTATCTAGTGAGTTCAAAGTTGACAAGACAATGTCACACACCAACCAAAAGGTTTCTGGAAGGCCTAGAAGTGTGGCTCAGTGGTAGGACTGGGGAAGCACTCTTCTAGAATGTGAAAGCTTCTGGGCTCAATGCCTAGCACCATAAAAAAAAAAGAGGAAGAAACAAGAGAAGAAATCAACTCTAAGGACTTTGAGATCAGAGAGATTGAAGTCAGTTTGTGAACTGGAAAACTTCCTGCTCTCTTCATTTGTAGGTAACTCGTTAACTCGGAGTTGCCACTTTAGTTTTGCTTTTGTGTTTTGAGACACAGTCTTACCGTGTAGTTCTGGTTACCTGGAACTCAATATAGAGACCAGGATAAACTCCATCTGCCTTTGCCCCCCGTGCTGGGATTAAAGGTGTACGCTATCACAATGGACTAGTTTTATTTTATTTGCTTGGTTGCTTATTTGCTGTTATTGTTGTTTGAGGGAGTTTAAAGAAACATACCATGAAAAGCTGGCCCTGAAATGGATGCCCACTGTGTTGTGTTTTTTTTTTAAAGACGGCAATCTGATGTTTCGGGAGCTTGTGATACTTAATCTATGACTACTCATTACTTGCTTGTCTGGCACCAAAACCCAGGAACTGCACATTATGTTGAGCCCTGGGCCTCTGGATAGACTGCTTCTGACAATGGGTATTGGTACTAGCCAGCCCCAGAGCACAGGAACATTTGTCTAGGGAATTATAGCGGTGAGGGTAACGGGTCTTTTGGGGGTCTTCTTCTAGAACAGTTCCTAGAGCACAAAGGAGTTGCACGGCAAGGGGTGGCCAACAAGACTCCCATTTCTATCCAAGTCTGCTTCCCTCCACATGCTCAGCACATTGCATCACTGCTGTTCTGCAGCCCAGGGATTGCAGGGCTCAGGAAAGCTGCTCTTCCTCCCTACGCAGCCTGTTGATTTTAGTTCAGGAAGGCCCAGGATAATATTTAAAAGAGAAGTAGGGGATTCCTCCTGGTGTGTGGGAGTCCCCAGTGGAATCCTCTTGACTGAGGCTAGTAGTCTGCCAGGAGAGTGGGAAGTAGGGATTCCACTGCTCAGGGCATGAAAACAAGTTTCTCCCATGCCTTCTATGAGGACATTCTGCCAAAAATAACCCTGTGGCTGTTATTCCTGGCTGGAACAGTGGGCATTTTTTTTTCTATTTTTTTTGTTAGTAGGGAATACACCATATTGAAAAAAGGGTCCCTATTTTTCCTGACCTCAGGCTTCTAATCATTTTTTCCAGAGACAGCCTTGTTTCTTGGTGTCTTCTTTGGGAATTATTCAGTGTGCACTGGGATGTTTCTGCCCCATGTTCCTTCACTAATAGATCTTTAACCTTGCTCCAATTTAAGTTTCTTTGTCTTAATGGCTATCAAATCCTGTGTGTTTTTATCTCCAAGTGTCTTGTCCTTACTGTTTTACTTCTTACTCTCTTGTGCCAACTTGGCTCATGTTAGGTTTTTCAAGTTGTTGAAGAGAACAGAAAGATTCAAGGCTTTTGAATAGCTAATTGGCTGGTAGAATGACTCAGTGGGTAAACGCACTGACGTCAACATGACAACCCGAGTTTGATCCCCTGAAACTAAGTTGGAAGGAGAAAATTGATTCTATAAAATTGTCCTCTGACATACACTCATGGGCCATGGCATGTACACACACGCACACACACACACAACCACAAAAAATATATAAAGCTAATTAATGAGAAGCTACATGTTTTAAAAAAAGGTCCAGCAAAGTGGCTCAGTGGGTTCTTGGTGGTTGCTACTGAGCCTAAGCACTAGAGATTGATATGATGAACTCACATGATAGAATGAGAGACTGACTCCTGAAAGTTGACTTCAGACCTCTACACACACGTACACACATACACACATTTGCATGCACACACAGTTGCACACACACATGCATGTACACACACTAAATAAATTAATAAATATATAAATAAAATAAGCTGGTTACATGCAAACATATTGCGCTTTTAAGGGTTAGAGAAGGTTGTTTAGCCCCTTGAAAATAGGATGTGTTTACTCCTGTGGAAGAGAAAGCAGACAAAAAACTTCCAGAACTTTCTCTTAATATGTTCTGGGAGTCTGTGCCCCTGATAGAGTGATTCTCTGAGGGATTTTCTAATGAGTGCTGCTATTTAAATGGAGGATTGGGGGCCCTCTGAACCCACATAGTATACCAAAAAAGAGTTTGGCAGGCAGATTTCAGATTCTCGCATGATAGATCAGAATTGCCATTCCCTATCAGAAGAGATGCTGTAGCTGTAGAAAACCAAGAGCTGTGTAGCCAGTCTGGGTCAAATCCTCCAAAAAAAAAAAAAAAAAAAAAAAAAAAAACCAAAACCAAATTAAAAAGTTAAAAAAAGCTACTCTCTTTTGTCAAGTATTTTTCCTGTGGGCTGCTGTATCCATTTCATCTTTCTTTTTTTTTTTAAATATTCATTTTTTCTTCTTCCTTAGGTGAAGTATCCTCCAATCCAAAGTCTCAGAGCACAAGTTACCAGTAAGTATTACCAAAAGTTTAATTTATCTTCATGTAGTTCTTTTGTATGTCTGTGTGGTACATGTATATCTGTGTTTATGAGTGCATGTGTGTGCGTGTGCTTGTGGAGATGGAGGCTGGCACTGGGTGTCTTCCTTAATTACTCTTCATCTTATATTTTGAGACTGCCTTACACTGAAACTAGAGCTCACTGATGGAGCCAAACAGACTGGCCAGCAAATCCCAGGGATCCATTGTCTCTGCCTCCTCAGGGCTGTGCTTGTAGTAATGGCTGTGTCACTGTGTCTGGTATTTCTCTTTTCCTTCTTTTCTTTCGTCCTTCTTCTTCTTCTTCTTCTTCTTCTTCTTCTTCTTCTTCTTCTTCTTCTTCTTCCCCTCTCTTTCTTTTTAGCGTGATGAACTGTACTCAGGTCACCTTGTACAGCAGATAGCTTACTGACTGAGCTGTCTCCACAGTCTCATGCCCATGCTTTCCCTAGGCTCTTTTCTGTGGTATCTTAACTTTCCTAGAAGACAGGATCTGCCATTTCCTTTAGGCAACTGTTACATCCCCTAAATTGTTGGAGTCTGAATATTTTTTTCAGGGGAAAAAGAAGGGATTAGTGACCAATACAGTTCCTGTCTCCGAACTTAATGTGCCATTCTTACTCTTCCCAGAAAAGTTTTTGTGGGTAGGAATTTTATTTTGTTTTCATCTAAGAATTCTATTCTACTCTAATATCATAGTGAGAGCTATGTGTGTGTGTGTGTGCATGTATGTGGGAGCTATACGAAGAAAACACTGATATTTTGATCAAGAGAGTATCGTTTGGGTCCTTGATCTCTGCCAACCACTGGAAGTTTCTATATGAGTTGTCAAGTATTTATTGAGTTCTCCGAGCTGAATGGGAAGTACATTTTGTCTTAATAAGTCATTCTTATTTTCGATTCAAAGTACAGCTCCCAGGTCTGGTACAAAGTAAGAATCATTGAGCTGGGGTCTACACTGGGGGCCTGTTGTTTCCTATCATCAAGGAGCATGAGCCAGAGTAGGTATATAAGATGTAGTTGGTTAGCCCTTCAAGATAATATTCAGGCTGATGCAGAGCTATGAGAAACTTAGGCTTTGGAGCTTGTGTAGTGTGAATTTTAATTGGTCTTCATAATAAAAACCTGGAGTCAGATATAGGCGTTAATACTGAAAGATCAGAGCAGCCAGACACTAGTTCTGACCTCTTCTGAAACTCAGACCAAAAGGACGATCCTGTCCCTATGAATCCTCAGACTGAATGCTTGCTCCTCGAAACCTCAGATTGAATCTACTTTTTTATTTATGTTGATATCCCCCCTTTTCTTTTCAGAGTAGACTCAATAATCTACCTTTATCATATCTAGGCTTACTTCTGGAGAGGCCTGGCAAAAAGCTACCAAAGCTGTTGCTTGTCCTGTTCTCCCCCTTTCTCGTCCTTCTCCCTCTCTTCTTCCTCCTTTTCTTTCTCTGTGGCAGTGACTCTTTCCAAGCTACCTTCCAGGAAATGCTGGTTATAGGAGATAGAAGGAAGAAACAAGGAACATGGCTGTGTCCCCGGGCTCCCTGTTTCATGGGACTGAGCCCACAAGCACCTGTGCTTGGCTGTATTCCTAAGCTTATTTGACTGCTGGCAAAGACCACTAGACATGCTGTCAGTGAGTCTGATTACTGGTGCTATATAGAAAAATCTGTATTTCATGGTCGGATGGGAAGGCATAGGAAATGGTTAAGTGTAGTTGCTTTGAGAGCTAATTAAAAGCTGGCAGGACCATGGCAATGAAGGCGCTGTTGTCCCACTGCTAACCTTGGCTGTAGTCTATCCACTCAACTGGAAAGTAAACACCGAAGAGGCCAGCATTTCTTGTTTTAGAAAAATCAGGGAAAATCAAAACCTGTCTTTCCTGCTACATGTCTGAGGTGACAATGGCTGCAATCTCTCTACTTTGTGCACGGGTACAGCAAGTTCCAGACACTGGTACACCACAGTGCTTCCTTGCTTTCTTTCCAAAATCTCCGTCCCTGTTAGTTTTCTCTTTACCTGATCTAGCTGTACTGGAAGGTTCTTTTCTCATATTTTGCTTAGGAATAATCTTGTTTTCAATTCTTTTTAGGATGTGAGAATGGGAGACTATTCATCAGCCTACCCAGGAATGAGTATCAAACCATGGAGGTGAAGAACAACTCAATTGTCATCACCTGTGATGGGCTTTATCTCATCTACCTGAAGGGCTCTTTTTTCCAGGGGGTCAAGATCAACCTTCATTTCCGAAAGGGTCGAAGTTCCATCTCTATGCCCATGATGAACGATGGTCAAAGGGTTGACTTCACTTTGGTAGCCTCTTTGGGCTTCAAAGATATAGTTTACTTGACTATAAATGCTTCTGATACTTCCTGCGAAAACCTCCAGATAAATGATGGGGAATTGTTTCTTGTCCTGCTAACACCTGGTGGATTCTGTGCCCCTTGAAGATCTTATAGTAACACCATGAACCAGGTGCCACTGTGAATTCCACTCCACGGGTGGGCAGGACACAGATTTCTTCTTGGGAGAGATGAGTCCATCCAGTTCAACTGTAGGAGATGTGACCAAATGCAGATCCTACCCCACTTACACTCAGGGATATTTAAAACCTGTCCTGCATGACAGTTGACCTCACAATCCCATGATTGCCTTGAGCCTACTAAGAGACCTTCTGGGAATGAGAAAATAAATGTCTCTTCAAGATGCATTGTTTCTGCTGGTCAGAAGATTATTGTAAAAAACTTTTGTCACTGAAAACCGCACTTGGCTACTATTTTCTAGACTTTCGGCATTGTCAAAAGAAAGAGCAAGGAATTGGGGGGCGGTTATGATTCTGGAAAAGGGCCGTGTCCACCAACCAGTAACAGGTGAAGTGCCCTCTCCAAGGCTAAAGTGATTAATGTTTACATGTTGCCTAAAGCCCTCTCTCATTTCATGGGAGCTCAGAAGGAAGAGCACCCTGTGGAAACCAGGACTGGAAGACAGCTGTTTTAAGTGACACTCTGGGGCTCTTGCTATTGCATTTCTTTCTTGGCCTCCAAACACATATAATAGAAAACTCCCTTGGAAGAACTCTCCTGGGTCTATGATTCCACCCAAAAAACCTCATCAATGATGGACTAGTTCATCTCTAAGGTTATTTTTATTATACAGAATAATAGTGAACTGTATGTCTCAGGATTTTACAGTCTGAGGACTGGTTTATAAGTTCTCTCTTTCAAAACGTCCATATAAATTTTTGATAAATTTTTACATTGTAGTATTTTCTGGCCATTTTCAATAGCAGATACAACACATCACAAAATCTCTCTAGATGATTCTGTAGCCCCCTAAGGATTGCACTGTGTTACAACAAAGCAACTATCTCTTGAACCTCTAGGAAGTTTGAAGTCTATTAATCTTTGTACTAAGTAAGCTAGCTCAATTATATTTGGATTTTTTTGTCTGATAATTTTATATTTTCTCTTAAGCATCTATCTATAATTATATTCCCACTCTGTTTCAATCTGTTATGAAAAGAAGTTGAATAAAAAGGCTACATAAAAGAGTTTGAGCATCAGATAACCATAGGTATTACTACTGGAAAGCCTGCTGTGGGCCACACATTGGGCTGAATGTTTTACATGAGTTACTTGGGGTAAAATATTCTGTGATCTTTGTCTTGGTGACTCAGGAGATTTGTGTGTGTGTGTGTGTGTGTGTGTGTGTGTGTGTGTGTATTCAGTTTTGGTTATTGACTATGTTTTGTAAAGTTGTTCTTACCTAATAAGTGACAATTGAAAACACAATTGTTTATAACTATGGGTTAATATTTAAGAAAATGCATGTTTTGCTTTTTAAGTTTGGGATTTAAGTCTGTCTATTTTTATGGATGTGCAGTGCACAGGCCTAGTCTAAGCATCACTGTTTTGTTGGTTGTTGTCTTGAGTGCCATGGCCTCTGCTCTGGAACCTCCATCCCCTGGAGCACACCTGGCCTGCTCCTTTTGTGCTGGCTTCTGTTAACCACTCTGGGATATTGTGAGCATGTGCCAGATTCAGTCACCTACCTGCCTCCATGTGTGGTCTGTGTCTCAGTTCTCTTATGAATTCCTCCAAAGGAACATTTAACCCTGTACTTTACACAAAGAAGACATTCATGGAATGGGAACTGAGTGAGAAAACAGGAGCCAGGAAATCTAAATTTGACTCAGTCGCAAAGCAAGTGACCGTGGAGAAATGGCATTCTATTTCTGCATTCTGCTTTCCCTAGTAACCTGACCAAAAAAAAACAACAACAACAACAACAACAAAAAACATGAAATGTTTAACAGTTTGGAACATTATGTTCATAACATTAGCCTAGGATATCTCACATGCTAAATGTCTCTGTGCTGGGTAACTTTCTCTTTGACTGAATGGAAGCTGGGAATTTTGTGGGGGGTTGGTTTTTGTTCATTGTTCTTTTGTCTGCTCTTTGCAATCTACATATTCTCCCTTAGGCTTCTTGATAACTCCATCCCGAAAAGTTACCCACGGTTATCTAATGGCATTGTTTACAGGATGATATAGGGAGGAATTTTTTTTCTTAATGAAGGTAAAAAAATTCCTTTAATTTTTAAGATATTAACTGTAACTACACACTGTATTAAGTCAGTTTTGGAATGTCAATCATAATATGTTCTTAAGCTTATCAAGTGGTTTCCTGGTTTTAAGCCATAATTTTGTATTCAGTGCATTCCTGACTCTCAGAGAGTATACATGTTAATGTTAACAATATAGATAATAATACTGTTGGTGTTTACATGGATAGAATAAAAGACCTTAGAATCCACTGGTGCTTAGAGTGTTGTTTTTCTTTGTGTTTCTTTTCAACATATCCTGATTAGTTAATTTTTCATAAGCACGAGGAGGGGGCAAGCTTTCTGGCTTCCTTACCTGCTTCTGTCTAGGGGATGGCTGAGCTGGAAGTCAGTGCCCTTGCTCACAGTTCAAGGTTTCTGGCTATGCAGGGTCCTTTCAAGCATACAGGGGCATACAGGGCTTTTCATCTCATGTCTAGCCCTGGATAATCTGAGAATTAGGTCCCCTCTGCCTGGTAGCAATAACTTGCTGTCTTAAAAGGAGGTCACAAGTATGAGTGACTTTTGTGACATAGTATGGCCACAGGAATCTTGGTGCCACCTTGATATTTATGACTGTCTCTTCCCCAAGTGCTCTTTAGCCTTAGCTTCTTTGGACTCCCCTTCCCTTCCCCTTTTCTCTTTCTTTTTCTTCTTCCTTCTCTTCCCTTCTCTTCATTTCCTTTCTCCTCCTCCCTTCCCCTTTCTTACTCTCTCCTTCCGTTCTCTTTATTTCCCTCTTCTCCCTTCTCTCTCCCCTCCTCCCTTCCCCTTTCTTACTCTCTCCTTTCCTTCTCTTCATTTCCCTCTCCCCTATTCCCTTTCCCCCTCCCTTCCCCTTTCGTACTCTCTCCTTCCCTTCTCTTTATTTCCCTTTGCCTTTCCTTCTATCCTCCTTTCTCCTCCCCTTTCCTCATCTCCTCTTCCCTTCCCCCAGCCTGCCTTTTTTATGCTCTGTCTTTCTTGGTATTTATACTCTTTCTTGTCCACTGCTCTGGCACTGGTGTTGTCTGGGACTGCACAGTCTCCTCTCCCCTCTGTGACAAAGATCACCATTAGGTACTCAACAAGCCATGATCTGGTTCCAATATTTAAACACTGAGAACTTTCTCAATGCATTGAACAATAAAGCAACAGTACAGTTTTGATTTTTGGCATGCTAGTAACCATCTCCAGCGAGGGGACAGTTTCTCTCTCCAGGAATGTTCTTCTTTCTCAGTTTCTCCAAGTTCTATCATTGTAATTATGTAATAATATTTTTATTATTAGTAAACAAACAAACTAACTAACTAACAAACCCCCACATATTGAGTACTCAACCTATTCTAGGCATTGTATTAGCCATCTTCTGAAACCTGTTTAATTCTGTACTCCCAGTAACTCTTTTAGGTAGGCATTACTATGATTCCTGTTTTAAACACAAGAACTAGAGACCTCAGGTAAATTTGCCTAAAGTGCACAAATTCAAGACCAAAGATACTGACACCAAAGGGCATGTTCCTAAGCTCTGTATCTCTGGCCTTCATGAGCATCTCTATGTGGATGGAGTGGGCACTTCTCAAAGCTTGTTAACTGTAGAAAGATCTGCCTTCCTAGTTAACCTCATCCTCCTGGTCCATGGTGTGGACCAAAGGCATCATAATCATTCCTGAATCTACCATCTTCCCTCCTTCACCCTTTTCTTCAAACCATTGATTATGGTTTCATTTATTCTCCCTATTAATCCTATTTTGTACTATTGCAGTAAGTGCTCACAAGGCCTACTTCAGAGGTCTAGTTTGATACGCATTATTCAATGAATGAGCAAAATGTGTAAACAAAACAAGGCAGAAAATGGAGAAAGCACAGTATTGAGAATATAGCTTTAAAGACTCTCATTTAATAGCTGAGGGATTTTGGCAAATTTTATTCTAACCACTCAGAATTTTATTTTCCTCTTCTATCTGAAGGTATTAATACATGTCTTAGGGGTGTGGGAAGTTCTTCTATATACATGTTGCTTTTATTGGCTAATGAATAAAGCTGTTTTGGTCAGTGGCTTAGCAGAATAGGGCAAGGCAGGAATTCCAAGCAGATAGAGGAGGAAATAGTAGGAGGAGTCAGGGAGAAGCCATGTAGCCATTGCAGGAGACAGACTTCAGACGTCAGATGGAACCTTACCAGTAGGCCACAACCATGTGGCAAAACACAGATGAATAGAAATAGGTTAGTTTAAGATAGAAGAGCTGGCTAGCAATACACTTAAATGATTGACCAGGCAGTGATTTAATTAATACAGTTTCTGAGTGATTATTTCAGGTCTGGACTGCTGGAAAATGAATGAGCAGCCTCCACAAACATCCTAGTTAAGGTTTCATTGCTGTGAAGAGATACCATAACTACAATAATTCTTATGAAGGGAAGCATTTAATTGGGGCTTAAGTCCATTGTCATGGCAGGAAGCATGGTGGCACACAGGCAGACACGGTGTTAGAGTGGCAACAGAGGGGTCTACATCTAGATAGGCAGGTGTAAGCGCCCTCACTCACTTATGTGGTCAAGGTCACCTGATATGGCCATAAATAACGAAGCCAGGCTTAGATTAGAGGGAGCACAGCAAGACTTGTAAGCAGAGACTGCTCATTCGTTTCCTGGCTACTCAGACCCAAATAATCACACAGAAACTATCTTAATTACAACAGTGTTTGTCCAGTATCTCAAGCATATTCCTAGCTAGCTCTTACATCTTAAATTAATCCATTTCTATCAATTTGTGTGTTGCCACAAGGCTGTGCCCTACCATTAAGGTTCCTAAAGTTCCAGGGTATCCTTCTTCTTTGACAGCTACGTGGTATCTCCCTGACTC